CCAGGCACCAGCTGCATTGGGAAGCAACACGGATCCATCCTTGCCCAGGGCTCGATCCCTGCTTGCCCAGGCTCTCCCTCCTTCCCTGCTGTCCTGCTGGAGCCGGGCTCTGTGTCCCTGTCCTGGAATCCCTGTCCCTGTATCCTGCCCTGGCTCTTCCCATGCTCCCTGCTGCGGCCCCTCACACAGGGCCCCTCCGAGCAGCGAAAAACCTTCACCGCTCCATCCTCCTCCTCGCCAACGCTCCTCGTGCCGGTTTCCAGCCGCCCGGAGCAGGACCGAGCTCCCTGTTTACATTCCCGAATATTTTCCGCCTGAGCCAGGGAGCGGGCGGCCCCTCTCCCCCCGCCGGCAGCCAGGGCTGCTCCGGCTCTCCCGGGAATTCTGCTGGCGCAGCAGAGCTAATTGCAAGCTCTGCTCGGGGACCCTGCTTCCCAAATTGCCGGGTGGGAATTGCCGGTTGGGGCTGGGCTCCGGAGCGCGGCCCGCGGAGCCCGGCCCTGCGGCCGCCCCAAATTAGACGGTGGCCCCGGGGCCCTGCCCTGTGGCCGGGGCTGGGCCGGCCCTGCGGCCACCGTGGCCACCGCGGCGCTCCGAGCCACCGGCAGGGAGAGCGCCGGCAGGGAGGGATGGGGAATCCGGGCATGGAGAGGGGAGAATCCGGGCAAGGAGAGGGGAGAGTCTGGGCAAAGAGATGGGGAGAATCTGGGCAAGGAGAGGGGAGAATCCAGGCAAGGAGAGGGGAGAATCTGGACAAGAAGAGGGGAGAATTCGGACAAGGAGAGGGGAGAGTCTGGGTAAGGAGATTGGAGAGTCTGGTCAAGAAGGGATGGAGAATCCAGACATGGAGAGAGGGAGAACCTGTGCAAGGAGAGGGGAGAGTCTGGGCAAGAAGGGATGGAGAATCCAGGCAAGGAGAGAGGGAGTCTAAGGAGGGGAGAGAGATCCCTCTAGGAGAGAGGGAGACTGTGGGCAACAGGGATGGAGATCCTAGCAGGGAAGGAGGGAGAGCAGGGCTGCAGAGGACACGGTGGTGTTTGGAATATGGGGTTGCATGGGATGTGGGGTAGCAGTGGACACTGTGCTGTGCAGGACGCGAGGCTGCATGGGATGTGATATGGGGCAGGATGCAATGCTGCACCGGGAGCTACGCTGCACGGGATGCTATATGGGCTAGGATGCAACGCTGCACCRGATGCAAYACTGCATGGGATGCTATAWGGGATAGGATGCAAYGYTGCACCRGATGCAAYAYTGCAYGGGATGCTATATGGGMTASGATGCAAYGCTGCACCWGATGCAACACTGCAYGGGATGCTATATGGGATACGATGCAAYGCTGCACYGGATGCAACACTGCATGGGATGCAATGCTGCACGGGATGCAGGGCTGCACGGCATATGCTGCTGCCCCAGCCGCGGCGCCAGCCCACACGACAAGAGCAGCCGTCCCCGTCCCCCACCAAGACACCACGAGCAGCTCGGGGCCGCGGGAGCTTCACGGGGCCGGCGCGGCGGGCGCGCTCAGGGCTGCTCGGGCAGGAAGCTGCTCAGCGTGAGGCAGTCGGCG